CCACCATGGAAAACCTGGAAGCACTGGACAGCCGTTTCGTCTTATTGTGGAACTCTTCAGCAGTCTATCGGTTAAGTGCTCTGGCGCGAGACTAATAAGTCCTAGTTTCGAATCTCGCGAGGCGGGATCGTGGATGCGCACTGCTGAAGAGTCCCACAACAGGACTAAACGGCTGTCCAGTGCTCCCAAGTTTTCCATGGTGGTCTAGCTTCAATTGACTCATGAGTTCATCAATATAAAATATTTTTAAAGCAAGATTATAAAGTTCATATTTCAGCTTATCCAATAATTTGCTGATATTTATCATAGTAACCAAGTGCTTAAGTTAAAATAGAAAAAAATCGTTAGTTTTAATTTTTTTTTCTTATTTAATCTACTGACTGAAATTTTATTCTTTAAACAATCGAACTAAAACTATTTTAAAGACATTTTAATGATTCAATCAATAATTTATATAATTAGCCAGAAACTTAAATAATTGAGACATTATAATCATATGTTAACACTATTTACCCATGTTTTTAATTATAGTTTCTTTCAGGTCTTTCATATAAATAAACAAGGTTAATAGGCGAAATGTTGTTAAGCAGGTGATTATAACTTCCGATTACATATATAAGATGAATTAGCTGTATGAATAATACTAACATCTATCCCATTGATAGATCCATATGGTTATATTATGAAACTTATATAAATCCTATTTCTAGGATGAATTCAATGTTTGTTTGTTTTATTTTATTTTTTTCTTCACAAAACAAAAGAATGCATGTGCATATTCAAAAATTATTTAACTGGTCGAATAAATAAGATCCAATTATACACATATTTCTTTAATCCTTTTTGTTTCTTTAAATAAACATCTAATTACTTTCCCTAAAAGATCATTTCTGTTTATTTTAAACTAAATAAAAAATATAAAAAATAAAATAACTCACTATTATTTAATTATCAATCTGTTCAAATTTCAATTTGATTAATTTACCCAATAAAATTAAAAGCGGATTATTTAAATATTTTAAAATTAAACTATGAAACTAAATAGACATCATAATTTATAAGTAACCTAGATATTAGAAGAGAGGTTTGTTTAAATTAAAACTATAGATCAAAATTTAAACTGGTTCATAATATGAAGATTGATTTTTTTTTAAATTTCGAATATGATAGATTTTAACTCCTTCTGTAGCTCCTCTGGGAGTTACTGGCATTCCCAAGCCCGGATTAAGGAGGAGGGTTGGACATAAGGGTTAGCGACCTCATCCCGTAGAAAACCAACTCATAAAAAAACTCTAACCAGTAAAAAATTATACAAACCATTTAATGATAGATTTTATCAAGAGTAACTTCGATCTTCTAGGTAGAATGGAAGTAATCTATTTAAACAATTTATTCGTGCGAACATAAGTTTATTTCTCATTATGTTAGTGTTTTTGAGGAACTGTTAGCTAGATCACTATTACGACCTGATTCTTCCAAATTGAATAGTCATTGAAGAATTCTAGATAAGATTCACTAAAAACCCTTATGATTACAAGCTTAATATAGTTTTTTTTAAATAATCTGTTGATAAAGATATTTACACGATTAAACTCCTTTATTAATTTCGATCAGCTTTTTAACGAAAATAAATTACAGCCAGTTTATCAACATTGGGAATCATCTCGGAAACTATTTTATCACCCATAAATAATCATCAGATTATTAGCTTGAGAGTATCACACAGTATTTTTAAGTATCAACTCATGTTAATTTTAAATTGTTTTATCTTTCCTTTGTATCATGCTCTTTAGTAACTTTTACCACAATCCCTTTCCTTAATAAAAAGAATTAGTACCATTTGATTGATTATAATAAAAAAATATCTTAAAAAGTGCAGACAAGGAAGCATGTATTTGTTTATATTAATTGGTAAAGGTCTATATTTATAAAATTCCTTATTTCCACTTTATAGATGGGGTTTACTATTCATGTGTAGATATGCATCTAGTCTTAAAAGGATCAAATGTTTTTTTCTAAAGTAAACAGACAAAAACTCAAAAAAAGCTTCACACGGTCCCTGGTTTTTATTAGACAAGTAGAATCACAATAAGAGGTAATTATAGAAACAGAGATGAACAGTGGCTAGCAGTGGAATCGAGGGCGCACGTTTCGTCCTGTTTGGGACTCGCCAGCTGGATGTACCTGCATCGCAGAGTTGATGTTCACTCTGAGACTCGAACACTGTAACGTTTGCTTCAAACGTCATCGCGTTATTCACTTAGCTACTGAGTTCTGGTAATCAATTGCTTGTGCAATTAACAAGAGGTAATTATAGTTTCTCCTCCTTTAAGAATACGTTTTTTAGTATTTTTTTTTCTAAATTAGTTGTTTCTTTTAATAAAGATGTTCATTCTACATCCATCTCCGGCCCGGATGATTGTTCTGAAATTAGTTTTCACAATCCATTTTCAGCATAGTTCAATTAGGTTATTTTAGGGTTTACATGAAGATTAAAATTGAATGTAGAAAGAAATTTTTGGTTATTCATAGATAATAAGGGATTTTTTGACTAATGAACTGACTTCACTACTGACTGTCCTAACAAGCCGAACTGTCTCATGTAGACTGACTTCTAATTAAGTTACAGGAGAGTAATTAACATACTGTAAATAATTTGATTTAACAAAACTACGGTTGTATGGAATTCTTTCACAAATGTGATCAATATTTTGCTAATGATTACATTTAATTTTTTTACTTTGGTGGAAGGAAATCATAAAATTCACATACATGCAAAACTGGAATAATAAAATAAAAAGTTATTTATGGAGCTATTTATGTTTATATCATTGTTTCATCATCCAATAACATATGTACCCGCAAGAAGCAAGACTTCACAAACTTATGACCTTCACGAGTATGATCAATGTAATAAGTTTTATTTATTCTTTATTTATCTTCTGTTCCTTGAGTGCTAACAACCGTTACGACGATTTCCTACCGTAAACCACGAATTATTAGATGAATTAAACCTTTCAAATTCATTTAAGGAATTAATTTGCTTTAAATGTTTCGGAATCCTAGATAAAACCAATCCAGATAAATGTTGTACGCATTTGACTTCAGTTCTGTATAACTAATCTAGAACTAAGATCTCCTTCCTCATAACCAATATCCCGCGTACGCAATCGTAGATATGTACTGATGAAAAGCTCCATACTAGGTCGAAATGGCCGTTCAGTGCTTTCAGGTTTTTAATGGTGGTCTAGCTTAGACTGACTCGGATATTCAACTGTGAAGATGGTACAATCTTCATAAATCCCATGCAGATTCATACAATACACTGAATGCTTCTAAATCATATATTAAGCCTGTTTTTTCCACGAAATACTACAGTAACGAATCCATTGTTCAAGATATAATTCTACTTTATCAGACTAAAACTCGAAGATAAAAATCAATGAGCCCTTTCGAAACAATCAATAAAATCCTAGTAGATAGAGGGGAGATGAGCAAGTAATAAAGTTGTACGATGAATCGAAATAGAAGTTGAGATTCATCATAACTATAATTTTAACAATTTACGTCACTCATCCGTTCATTTTATTGTTACAATATCATTTCATTGTGTAGTATTATTTGCAGATTGGGGTTGTAAAGATTGTCGTGTTTCATTAAAACCATAAACTGATCAATATTTGACCAACTTTGAAAACCGGGAGGCAATTAATGGCCGTTTTGTCTTAATATAGAACTCCTCATTAACGCCCACCCACAATCCAGCACGTGGGATTCGAGCCCAGCACCTTTCGTCTCATGTGTGAACGTTTAACTTCTAGACCGCTGAGCTGGGATCGAACGTCGTTCATGTCTAACTTCAACTACTCCATGATGTTGAGAGGCCATCTTCCTTATTTTGGTGGGTAACTACCTCATACTAGACATAGTTGAACTCCACTAGTCACGGTTTCTCAGACCTTCAAAGTAATATTATTTGGTTGAAAAATAGGAACTTAATAAAAACAAAGATCATTATTATGTTGCAATTTAGGATCAAATCTCATTAATAATATTCTACGTCATTGTATTGTATATTTGACAAGAGGATAAACTATTTATTTTAGAAAGAAAAATAAGAAACAATACTGGTAATTGACATTTTAGATTGGTATTTATCGCAAATTAGTATGTATTGTATCCTTTTTGAATATTCTGTATATTTCATAACAACAAGAGAAATACTCGATGGTTTTCAAATTTCAACTTTTAAGGATCTATAAAAGTAAATTTTATTTCTGTATTGTAAAATCAAATATATCTAATATGTTTACGTATAAAGAATGGAAAAGTTGAGCAGTGAAAAACTTACCATTATTACGGTGAAACTAGATTCTAGTTCAATAGTAAAATCTATTATAAAATAGTTGTTTACCCCAAAAGTGATCTATTACTTTAAAGCTTAAAGATTCAGTCACTTCAATTGCCTATAGAGATTGTATAGAATATTATGCCTATAATATAAACACATTACAACTTTTAACGAATTGATGAATCTTGAAGTGGGAGATATGTAAATCAGCTATTTTCAGCTTTGATTATCTAGTAGATAGCTATATATGAGAAAAATCTGCAGACAGCACCATTAAGTTGTCGAATAGCTCGCGCGCGAGACTGATAGGTCCTGGGTTCGAATCTCTCGAGGCTGGATTGTGGATGCGCACCGTTGAGGGTTCCCACAATAGAATGAAACGGCCGTCCAGTGCTTCCAGGTTTTCCATGATGGTCTAACTTCAATTGACTCATGATTTCAACTATATAAAATTACAATTTCCTTTCATGTTTATTGCGCTTTTTTTCAAAAAATACCTGTGCTAATCATAAATTAGCAGCAATCACAACAAAATAATGAATTTCATATAAACACTTGATGTAATTTAAAGTCCTACATATTATTTGTAACTTTAAAGTGATATGTGTGAAACTAAAAAAAAATGATAATCACTAACACACAGACTTACTAGTTTTTTGACATGTGAATTGATAATCATGACAGCAATCTCCAGTAATGACACAGCTTTCATCACAAAAACATCGACCACGTGGACTTGAATGACCAGCTACACTACGATATTTCCTCCATGGATAATATCTAGATATTGAAGATTGTCCAGTTGATTTGTAAACAAAACATTTCTCTTCTCGACCGGCACAACATATAGACATTCCATTAGGTTGAAGGCATCCATTTGAAATAACTAATGAGATTTGATTGATTGTAATATAAAATGAAAATAATGTGACCCAGTGTAAAAACTTTGAATTAAATTGAATAGTGAATCGTTTTTTAATTGATCGAATCATTTTTTGTTTATATATGAAAAGGAATATTTAAAAATTCACAAGAGAGCAAAAAAATATTGAAAATATTGTAATAAGCTGGATTTCTAATGACCAGTAGTTTTTTTGTATAGTAAGAATTCTACAATAAGTTTTTGCTGCCTGTTATGTGCATATAATAAATAAGTAACAAATAAGCATTAACAAGTGGAGATGTAGACATGTATTTAAATAGTATTTTCAGGAAAAAAAATTGAGTTATTTTTTTTAATTTCAGGGTAGTTAAGAGGAAAAAAAATTTTTTCTGTTGTCTGATAACCGTATCCAGGTCTTATATACTGGTGGCCTATCGACTCCACACCATTTCAATGTACTGTTGTTCCAATCTACACATGTATGTATGTATATATGAATCAGTGCACAAGATCCGGTAATATACAAACAAAATGCTTTTAGTTATGCAAGCATGCACACACTAAACATCCATTTGGTGCTCAGGCCTAGACATTTATAGAAGTGATGCTAATGTTTGTACATTTTTGCACGTATGTAATCCAATTAACTTCCTCTATGCAAAACTATGATTGGTTAATTTCAACAACAGTAGTAGGCGAAAGACCTGACCTTCTCTTGACCCCATACAAATGACCATCCCTAAAAAGCGTAAAAACAACAAGGTTTTAATTACAGCAGACTAACAAAACAAATGCAAAGGGTTAAGGTCAAGTGTTATTTTCAACACTTGGATGAAGTAACCTACACTAGCTGTTTTGGTCCAATGATTAGGACATTTGGTGAAAATATAGCGTTAATCTGATAGATAGATACATATGAGTGTATAAAAAAATGCACACAAACTGTTTGTTACGGACACTGTCCTTAATATTGTACCATGACTAACAATGTAAACAGGAAGACAGTGATCAACTCACTATTATTACATAACGACATGTTTTACTGACTAGGAAGTTCTTTGTTTCCCTTTTCGGCATTGAATTGCTTTAACAGTCAGTCAAATATGTAAATAAAACTGTTAAGAAAAACCATGGACTATGGTACGATGACGAATAAATTTATAGTTAAAAGAAATTAATTTTTAATGAGAAACAGAAATAAAAAGGCAAAGGACTGCAAAACTACTTAATTAGTACTAAATGTACACCGATATTTCGATGTCAATGAGATATTTTTTGTACGGTCGAATAACACTGAAGAATGTGCTTTCAATAGTTATATGCCCTGATTTTCTGAGCACGTAGATCAGTTTTATATTTCCTAAGGAACTTTATTAATGAGTGTATTTTTGTTACGAATTATGTTTTATTTTGTCTTGGAGAAGAATAAAAATATATATGAGAGTGAATGAAATTAATTAAATAGTTAGAAAATTAGCCAAGTAATATTATTCAGATCAACATTCTCTTGAAAACCATTTGATTCGACTATCTAAAATTTATGTAGCTTACGTTAAGTCACTGTAGAACATTAACGATGATGATCTCTGTCGGATGTTTGGAGGCCTACTCGAGTTAGACGAGAACAGTGTGACGAACCAGCTAACTTTACAGTCACACCTCGTGGTCAGCATCTAACTTGGATTATCCTTCTACATATTAAAGTACTATGGCTGCTTTGAAGACTGAATGACACAAAGGACGTTATTATGGAAATATGTTAGCAAGAATGAGTACAAAGAAGGTGGCGAGACTAGCAACGCATTCGCCAGTCCATGCTATATGATTTACTGAACCGCGTTAGTTGTCCTTGACTTTGACAGGGATCGATGATCTGTTCGATATTCAGTGACTCAACTGCCGGATGATTTAGCCAGAGCTCAGTGACATTTCACTGCCCTTACTTCACGAAACGTCAGAAGTACAATTGTTCTACTCATTGAGGCATGACAAAAATATATATTTATTGTTAACTTTCTAACCAATACTCAATTTATTAAAAATTATCAAGTCCAACCTTAGTACTGTTATCTACAAATAAATTATAATTACTTCAGTTAACAAAGATGATGCTAAGAATTCTTTACCTTCATCCATGAAGTAATGAAATCATTAGAAGTAATGGAAAATAGTTTTGCATAAGAATGAATTCGTTAATAACTACAAATAAAGAAGTTGCTTTGTTTTCATACAAAGAACTTTCAAACAATTCATATTTATGAATTATATACCATTCATATGGCAGTTTTACTTTCTAATAATTTTCTTAATACATGCATAAATATTCATCTGAGCATTCTTTTTGTACTTTGTTCCAATGGATAATCAACCTATTTCTACAATCTGTCAAGACGATTTTATTCAGGTGTAGTTTGTAATGTCTAATAATCGTTTTGTTTATTACACGTTACTAACTTTTATCACAGTATATTACTGAAAGTTACGATAATTTTTACGATCACAAAATATATCCAGCTGGATATTTCAGAAGTAATACCATGAACAAAAAACCTTTACTTAGCTAAATGAATTGGTGAAGAATTTCCTATGTGTCAAAGATATTATTCATTACTGACTACTATTTACCAACTTTATGCTCTCTATGAGTATTAAGGCCGTAGTTTTCAATCCCTTGAGTTATAAGTGTGTAGAGTTGAGAAGCTTCAGGCTTAGGTAAAACACATTCAAATTGATTCCTGACTTTTAGTAGTTCTCCAGATGATGTTAATTCATGATGAAATTTGTCTTGGAAGGAAATCTTTGAAATATATTGATGAAACTATTTGACTTACTGAAACTTCAGCTTGGAATTTACAAATACCACTTAAATTGCTAAGTTCAAATACCCCAAATCCAAATCCAAAATTATTTTGAAGAAACTTTTTTAAACTATGCTCCACAGGCGAATATAATTTAGGTCATAATTATGTAACTAGTCAGAAACAGCAAGCAGATGACAACGATAGACAGTGTAGATAAATTTAATTTTTCCTTCAACATTAACAACACTAATTAGAAGTCATTAAAACATATTCACTTACACAATAGACATTGTTATTATGTGATAATGAATAATAATCAGTAGCTTAATAATCTTCCAAGAAATTTTGATCAATTTAAGTAACATTATAAACCTAAGAAAACTTTTACTTTGTCTAAGTGATTTAAATCGAACTGTAATAAGTTATTTATTAAAATGAAATTGAAAAGTTCAAAATATTATCAACATGTTAAACAATTGTATCTATAATCATTATAAGGATTGAATATTCTAAAGTGAGATGAGAGTAATTATATTAACAATTATTATTAGAAGGGGGTTTTGTGGAGATTTTAGTAGTTTTATATAGCTGAAATCATGAGTCAATTGAATCTAGACCACCATGGAAAACCGTGAAGCATTGGACGGCCGTTTCGTCTTATTATGTGACTCCTCAGCAGTGCTCATCCACGATCCCACCTCGAGAGATTTCAACCCAGGACCTACCGGTCTCGTACGCGAGCACTTGACCGATACACCATTGAGCCGGCCGGCATCCAACGGTGTTATTGTCTAACTTCAACCAATCCACGAAATTAAGCGACACATCCACCAATGCCTCCAGTGAGTTGATATCTTCCAACAAACCTTGTTGAACTCCACTAGTCACTGCTTCTTACTAGAACTCCAGGAAATACCTAATGGAGCCAGTTACTAGTGAGCATATGATCATTATCAGGAGGTGGTTTAGTAACTTTATATAGTTGAAATCACGATTCAATTGAAGCTAGACCACCATGAAATCAAGTGAAACCTAATGGATCACAAAAGTAGATTAAAATGATTATTTAATCAACTAAATATTTGCTTACTGGTCGGCAGCCTATGCTCCATTGGAAGTAACAGGAGTAAGTAAGTAATACATTACATTAGACGATATTTTCAAGTTTACAAAAAAGCAAAAAAAACATTAATTATTGAAAATATTTTATTGACATAAATTATTCCCTAAAACTTAATTGCTATTTCATGTATTTTTAAATTTTTAACTCATTATTGTTTATTAACAACTAAACGAAAGAAAAAAAGTATTTTCAAAACAAAATGGATTAATTAAAATAAATATTATCAAAAAATATGAATAAGCTTCTAAGTATCTTAAATGGATGAGAAAAATTTTGAAGTGTTTCTTCTTATAATTTATTTATTCTATATAGTTGAGATCATGAGTCAATTGGAGTTAGACCACCATGGAAAACATGGAGGCACCGGACGGCAGTTTCGTCTTATTGTGGATTGGTTGAAGTTAGACATTAACACCATCGGATGCCGGCTCAGTGGTTTAGTGGTTAAGCGCTCTGGTGCAAAACTGGTAGGTCCTGGGTTCGAATCTCTCGAGGCGGGATCGTAAAGGTGCACTGCTGAGGAGTCCCACAGTAGGACGAAATGACCGTCCAGTGCTTCCAGGTTTTCCATGGTGATCTAGCTTCAAATGACTCATCGTTTCAACTATATAAAATTACTAAAATCTCTACAAAACCCCCTTATGATAATTTTTTTATTCACTTTTTTTCAAATATTTCATCATTTCCTCGCTAGTAGTAATGAATGTAGTTCCAAGATAGTTTACATATATATGGACAGACTTTAACTACGTAACTGAAAGTATGATTCTACAAAGCAGCTGATTTAGGAACAAATAAAATGGATATTAATTTAGTTTATGATATTTCAGAACGAATTTAAAACAAAGCCTAGGCATCTGTTCAGTTTATATTAGTTTTTAGTGGATCTTTACCTATTTTTAAGTCTAAAATATATACTCACTTGAAACTATAGAGTATATTAAAGAATTCCAAATTAAAACGATCAATAATTTTTGTTAACTGTTTATTCTTTTTTTATATTCAGGCAATATTAAGTAATTTTTACATGATACTTAAATCACTAAACCTTATATCTAATTCTTAACTTTGTTGTATATATGAGTCATATTATTCTGTGTTTTTATTTATTGATTATTAATATATCCGGACAATATAGTATCATCAAAATACTTCAAACTGATACTTACTTACTTACTTACTTAGGCCTGTTACCCATCGTGGAGGAGCTTAGGTCGCACACCAGCATTCTCCATCCAACCCTGTCCTGGGCAATCCTTTCCAGTTCTTTCCATTTAACATTCATCCTTTTCATATCTGCTTCTATTTCCCGGCATAATGTGTTCGTTGATCTTCCTCTTTTCCGCTTCTTTTCCGGATTCCATGTTGGAGATTGCTTCGTGACGCAGTTTATAAACTAATACTACTCATTTGAATATCTTTTCTTCGGTACTTTTAATCATAATAAAGTAACCTTAATTTACTTGTATTTTTCAAAATAGTAAATATTCAATTATAACTAATAAATAATATTTTTTATTTAATTGAGATCATGAGTCAATTGAAGCTAGACCACCATGGAAGCACTGGAAGGCCATTTCATCATATTATGGGTCTCCTCAGCAGTGAGCATCCATGATCCTGCCTCGCGAGATTCAAACCCCTTTGTGAAAATAATATTTTTCTT